GAATCAATTAGTTAATTAGGAAAAATTAGTCAATTATTAGAGGTTTAGGTGAGATTGGGAATTGGAAAACAAAATAAATAAATAATAAATTAAAAAAATTTTAATTTTTATACGGATAAACAGGTCAAACCCGTTAACCCGATGGGTCAATCTGTTATTGACCTGTGACCCGTCGGATTCTCTTAACGGGTCATTAACGGGTTACGGATCATAAATTTATGACTCTAACCCATTTTAAACGAGCGGATAATGAACGAGTTAACGAGTTGGGTAAGAAATTGCCAAATTTAGAAACTAGGGGCCAATTTGCTTCATCAAGTACCGCCATGTGTTTCTAAAAAAAAAAAAAAAGTTTTACGTCTTTAAAACATAAGTAATAATTATTAATTGATAATGAACGAGTTAACGAGTTGGGTAAGAAATTGCCAAATTTAGAAACTAGGGGCCAATTTGGCTTCATCAAGTACCGCCATGTGTTTCTAAAAAAAAAAAAAAAGGATGAAAATACCGCAATGTGCAAAAGATATATATATTTCGCCTTTTCAGAAAAACGATATGTAAGGATAGGTCCGAGGTCCTTAAACTCGGACGTATTGTAACAATTCCTTAATAACCGAAGTGAAGTTAAATCCAGCACTTCCGGTCAAACGGTTGCACGATAAATACAGTGGGCATACCCACACCTGATTTATCACATAATTCCCCGGTCCCGAATTTGCCGTCGGTCCCGAATTTATCTCCTTAAAGGATACGTCATACTTCGATTATCCTGCTAAGCAAGCCATGTTGATACCTCACGAAGGCCTATAAATACCCCCCAGGGGCCACGTCAAAAAGGTAATTGAAACCATCCTAAAGTTCCTTTTTCATTAATCCAGAGATAGACCCGATTATTGCTGACTTAAGCATCCGAGTGTCTACCCCGAGGACCCACCTCGGGGCTTTGTAGGTTTATCTGAAGTGAAGATGCAGATTGAAGAAGGATCTTTGGTTTGGTGCAATTACATTTGGTGTCGTCTGTGGGAATTTGAATTGAAAGCTCTCTTGTTGCTCTTTCATCATGTTTAACACTCGATCAGTCTGAGCTGGAAATCCATCTCAACCCTTTGGACAAGGTCAAGTATCCAACAACCTTCCACCTCAGATCCCAAATATGTTCCCTCCTAGTGATCATGCAGAAGGAGGAGATGAAAACCAACCCCACAACTCAACTCACAACTCAGCTTCCACTGCCAATCCAGATGTAGTTATAGCTCAACTTGCTGCTATGCAACAACAGTTTGGTGTCTTTCAATTAGTATTGGCTCAGCTCTTAGCTCAAAATAACCCTGGTGATCCCCTCATCAATTTACTTAACCCTGCTCCACAACCCCCAACTCCACAGCAAGACCCTCAACCAGTTCAGCATGCTCTTGCTCTCAGTGAGTTTTAGGGCCAGTCTCACATAGCCCCAGCTCAGCAACCTCTTCTTGATGATGTCACTCGACGCTTGAACAGTTTAGAAAAATTGGTAGCTGAACAGCGAGGTGCCCCACCTCCACACCACAATACTGACTCCATACCCCATCCTCTGAACACCAACATTACATTGGAACCTTATCCTGCTGGTTTCAAAATTCCTCAGCTCGAGATTTATGATGGGACAAAGGATCCTGATAATCATCTACATGCTTTCTACTCTTGTATGCAAACTCAGAACGCCTCTGACGCGTTGATGTGCAAAATCTTTCCCTCTACTCTCCAAGGTAATGCTCGAACTTGGTACTATAGCTTGCCCCTAAGATCTATCAGCTCTTATATAGAAATGGCATCTACTTTTGCCACAAAGTTTTCTAGTAGAAGGTTGATCAGGAAAACTACTTCTAAGCTGATGCAAGTTAAACAAAGGGATGGAGAATCTTTGAAGAATTACATGGGTAGATTCAATGATGCAGTGTTGGAAGTTAACTCCTTCGATCAATCCGTGGGAATTGCAGTTGTGATCTTAAGTCTTAACCATGAAAGATTCAGAGATAGTTTGATCAAGCATCCTGCTACAACCTTTAACGAGGTGAATGATAGATCCCTAAAATTCATAACTGCTAAGGAATATGCCTTGTCGTAGAAGCCAACCCCCTTTAAGAATCAAATCCTAGACTGGAGAGATGAGAATCAGAGCAGAAAATGGATGAGGATAGCACATAATCGAGGTCCGATGTTGACCTCCACACCGAGATTCGGAAGGCCGAACTCAACACCTTCACAACAATCTGCAAGTAAACCGCCAATTACTTGGACTCCTTTTAATCTGCCGAGGTCACAGATATTCATGCAGATAAAAAATAAGATGGACTTAAGGCATCCGGGCCCAATGAGAACTACTGTTGCTAGTCGAGATCATACTAGATATTGTGATTTTCATCAAGATCATGGTCATACAACAGAGCAATGCAACAGTCTGAGGTTTGAACTGGAAAGTCTAGCTCAGAAAGGAATGTTGAATGAGTATATTCAGAGAGCTAAACAGCCAAGATTTGTCAGGGAATAGGGGTCACAACCACAAGCAGTTCGTAATCCATCAAACAGGCAAGGCGTGGGATATCAACAAGCCCCACCTCCGCCCCCACCACCAGCTAGAATTATACACATGATTATAGGAGGACTGGAAGCAGGAGGGTTGAGCTCCAAATAGAGAAAGTTATATGTCAGGGAGGTCAAACATCAAAATCGAGCTAAAAAACGGAAGTTTGACGATGCTGACTAGAAGAATCAACCCATTACTTTCACATCTACTGATTTTGACATAGTTGTCACACCCCCACAATGATCCTCTGGTCACTTCTGTCATGATTAACAACTATGAAGTGCAACGTATCCTTCTTGACACAGGGAGTGCACCAGACATCATGTACTTCCACTGTTTTGAGAGTCTTGGGCTGGATCCAACTTTGTTGCAACGATACGATGGTCCCATCTATGGATTAAACAACCAACCAATTCAGGTAGAAGGAGTTATTACCCTCAATGTTGCTTTTGGAAGTGGCCGAATGTATGTTACCCTTTCAGTTCGGTTTCTAGTTATCAAGATAGCGTCCTCTTTCAATGTTGTTATTGGCTGACCCACGCTGACCGAAATCCGCACTGTGGTTTCCCAACTTTGCATGAAGTTCCCAACTCCTATGGGAATAGCAACACTACGGGGCAACCAGGAGGTAGCCAAACATTGCTATATCACCTCAGTCACAAGACCTCACAAAGACAAAGAACAGACGCAGGAAGCCATTCGCCAACGGATTCTTGACAATTAGCAAGTCATGGGAGTTGAGATAGTAGACAACCGACCTAAAGATGAAACCAGAGCTACTCCAGTCGAAGATGTCGAGGAGGTGCACATTGACTATAGAGATCCACGTCGAAAGACATAAATTAGAACTCAATTGAGCCCGGAGGAAAGAGCAAAGCTAATAGCTTTTCTCCGAGCTAACAATGACGTCTTCGCTTGGACTTCGACAGATATGTTAGGAATTCCAACCTTGGTATCTCAGCATAAGCTCAGCACCAATCCATTGAAAAAACCAGTAACCCAGAAGCGACGTCTCTTCGGGGGGAAGAGGCTTCAGGTCATAAAAGAAGAGGTAGAGAAGCTTCTACAAGCTGGTTTCGTCAGAAAAGTTGACTATTGCGAATGGGTGGCTAACTCAGTGCTGGTTAAAAAGGCAAATGGTAAATGGCAAATGTGCATTGATTACACAAATCTCAACCAAGCTTGCCCCAAGAACTGCTATTCGATGCCGAGCATTGACAAGCTGGTTGAAACAGCTTCAGGAAATGAGAGATTAAGTCTCTTGAATGCATATTCTGGGTATCACCAGGTGCCGATGGCTTTGGAGGATGAAGAAAAAACCTCGTTCTATGCTGCTGATGAAATCTATTCCTATGTCATGATGCCATTTGGCTTAAAGAACGCAGGTGCTACTTATCAGAAAATGGTGACCATCGTCTTCCGAGCTCAGATCGGTAGGAATCTGAAAGTTTATGTCAATGATATTGTCGTAAAAGAGCCTGAAAGTAGAAGATCATTTAGCTGATCTCGATGAAACTTTCAATAACCTCAGAAAGAACAGAATGCGGTTAAACCCAACCAAATGCATCTTCGGTGTGGAGTTTGGGAAATTTCTAGGCTTCATGGTTTCCCAAAGAGGGATTGAGGTCAATCTAGAAAAGATCAGAGCAATTGCCGAAATGAAACCACCGAAGTCAGTGAAAGATATACAGAGATTAACTGGAAGAGTGGCAGCTCTTCATAGGTTCATATCGAAGTCAGCAGATAAGTGCCTACCATTTTTCAAGATCATGAGGTTAGCTGCCCAAAAAGATGAATCAGGTAAATAGAAAAAGTTTGAATG